ATATTATTATTATTATTACTAATAAATGCTTCTTTATGCACACTTTACCTCAGTATATGCATTTCTTGCCTCGAGAAACCAAAACTGACATTCTTCTCTACATATTCTCGAATTCCTGTTTTTATATGCCTTTATATTACTGTTTTTCTTATTTTGTGTTGCATTTCTGTTTGAACAATATTACATATGTGTGTGTGTGTGTGTGTGTGTGTGTATATATACACACACACACAGTCATATCTCAGGATAAATACACTTCAGGATAAGTATTTTTGGGTTGCGCTCTGTGGCGACCCAGAAGTAACAGAGTGTGTTACTTCCGGGTTTCACCGCTCACACATGCACAGACGGTCAAAATGACGTCACATGCATGCGCGGAAGCAGCAAAACGCGACCGCCGCATGCGCAGACGCGCTGTCGTGTCTTATGTTCTGTTCAGGATGTGAACGGGGCTCCAGAATGGATCCCGTTCACATCCTGAGGTACCACTGTATCTCTGTTTATAAATGCTTTAAAATAAATTATAGATATATTACAGGTTGGGCCGAGTCCCAAAGAAGCAATCTTCATGAACATGTGCCCACCACCATTTAAAGTGCAGTGAGTTCTTGGGGGGAGAGGAAGCCGGAGTGATAAAATTAAAGTATTGAATGGAACTTGCTACCACGTGAGACAGTGATGGCCACAAACCTAGATGGCTTTAAAAGAGGAATAGACAAATGCATGGAAGAGGAGAGGGCTATTGATGGCTACTAGCCATGCTGGTAATGTTCTGCCTCCACAGTTGAAGCCAACATTGCTTCTGAATACTAGTTGCTGAAAAGTGAGAGTGGATCTTGTGTTTGAATCCTGCTTGTGGGTTTCCTATAGGCATGTTGTTGGCCTCTGTGGCAACAGGATGCTGGACTAGATGGTCCTCTGGCCGAATCCAGCAAGCTTTCCTTGCGTTCTTACATTCACAGTGAGGCTCCCTCACTCCACGCCACCCCCAAACAGAACGAAGACAGGAACGTTGCCTGACCTTTACCTGGAATTGGCTTTGTGACAGCACCACACAAATCCAATTTGCCAAATGAGTTCCCCAACTGGTTGGGATCGCTCAAGTAAGGAGGGCAATCAGTGGGAAGAAATGGCACGATAATAGCAGCAGAGAGGAAACAACTGCGGTGAACCATGGGAAAAGGAGGCGACATGGAAAAAGTTAAAAACGGAAAGGTGTTTTCAGGGAATATCTTGGGCTCTTGAAAATATTCACAGGCAAATATCTGGGACACCTCTAATAATTCACGGGATCTGGCAACTGCTTCCACGTGCCACGGGGGCTCTGGGCTCGCGTCTCTCAAAGAGCGGCTCTACATGCCACATGATAAACAACTTTTGGACCTGGAGAGGATATCAAAAGCATTCTGTGGCGTGGTTGTCTGCTCAAAAGCGCAGATGGGTCTGAAATCACACTGGATGTGAAACCTTTCAACGTGCCCAGCCATATTGGGAAAATGTGTTAGCTACAAGGGCCAGCAACGTATCTTTTATTGCAATCTTTTCTTTGTTTTTCTGCGTTTTTTTGAAGGAGGAATGGGATGTCGTTGGGCTACAACTCCTATCAGCCCCAGCCAACATGGCCAATATTCAGGGATGGTGGGTAGTAGTATTCCAGCATCTTCTAGAGGCCGCTACATTGGCTCCATTCCCAAAGGAGTAGGGAAAATGATTCCCGGCCTCCACTGTTGGAGGCAACGTGCCTGTGAAAACCAGCTGCTTGGCATCACCAGTGGGGAGACTCCTCAGGTCCTGCTTGCAAGATTTCCACTGGCATCTGGCTGGGCCCTGTGAGAACAGGATGCTAGACTACTTTGGCCTGTGGCCTCATCCAGCCCGCAGGCTCTTCTTATGTTATGATGTCTGTAGACAGTTACTTCAGGCTGGACAGGAAGGCCCGTGCGGTGGGTGTATGTTTCGGAAAGGGCCATAATTCAATGGCGGGTGTCATGCTTTCGATGCAGAAGGTCTCCAGTCTAATGCGGTTAGAAGGATCTGGTGGCGGGTGGTGGGAAAGGCCTTTGGATGAGACCTTGGAGAGATGCTGTCAGTCAGTGGCTCAACTGAGCGGTGTTGATCTGGTCTAAGGCACCATCATACATTCTAAGTGGGAGCAGTGATGTCCTGGAAGGATAGCATCTGAATTAGCCAGAGTGCTTGCATGTGAAGCTGTAGTCCAGAACTGCAAATCCATAAAGCTCACTGATCATGGGTTGTAGCTTGCTTGCTGCTTGGCAATGCTTTTTGCAGCCAAACTAGATATGCCATGAATTGTGTGGATGTAACTAGCATGCCATCTTTCCCCCCCATTTTTGGTAACATAGGTAGTCACCAACGAAGACTTCACTTGAAATTCAAACAACAGCTCCAGAGAACACGTTTTTGTTGGGACGGTGGCAAGGAGACAAAGGGTTCAGCCTCCCTTCTCTACTCCCAACCCTGAGGCTGCTAAGTCCCAAAACAAAAGATGTGCACATTAATTGCATCAACACAATTAGAATTGTGTTCAGGTTGACCCTCAGGTAGAGAGAGAGACAGGACTTTTACAGAGTCCCTGGCAGGATGCCACAGGTAGATGCTGAGCCGAGTTCAGCTTGGCAGGTTGTAAGTCAGGCAGTCTATACAATTGCATGCAGACATATACTGCTCCACTATAAGCTGTAATACAATTAAACTAGCAAACAACAGTCAGTAAACCAGAAACCTTGCAATTAATGCTCAGACTAAAGCCACGACCAAAAATCCCCCCTCTAACAATTTCACAGAGCTGTTGGTCTCCTGTGAATGGGAAGGGGGATTTTTGGCTGTTTTCGGGTGGCTGGAAAATTTTCACATATTTTTGTTGCAGGTGGTGGGGTTGATGTTCCTTAAGACAAGATTGCCAAGGTTGCTTTTTAAATTATTATTAGACTTGGCATCCTACTGGCTGCCTTTTCAATTGTTTAAAGGTACATAGAAATGACACAAAGTACTATCATCCCCATGGACCTTTTGAGCTTGAAATCTCAGCCAGGACAGCTGCTAAAAAGGCTTGTGGTTGGAGCAACTATGAGTCTTTCTTTTAACTTGTAAAAAGAGAACAACAACAAAAAAGACCCTTAGGCCATCTTGTTTTAAGGTAAACCAACCAAAATTGACAGTAACTTTCTCCAGTACCTTCAGAGTCAGTTCCCCACCCTGTCCTGCCTGTCGAAAAGCTGGCCCAAAAGTTTCAGCACAGCTCTAACTCATACACACTCAGCAAGGTGATACCACAGTGATCAGTTTTACTGGCACGTCTCAATCTCTTGGTGCAACAAATAATTAGCAGCGCTCTACATCAAAGCTGTTAATATTATCAGAGTCACGCACATTTAGGACACCATCAGAAATTATTCTTGCATGGTACAACCCTCCCGGGAAGTTCTCCTGCACAAGCACCACTGAAATAAACAGGACTTGTGCGGTCTTGCACCGCTTCCATTTGTTTCAATGGTTAGTGTGCCCAGGGTGACTTCCAGGTGGGTTCTGCCTCTAAGTCTGGCATCCAACTGCAAATGAGGATCAACTAAAGGGGGGAAAAGCAGCATTAAAAACAGCAAGCAAAACCGAGCCTTGGAAATCAGGGAGCATTCCTCAACACCACCCCAGCTCTCCTACGAAAACCAAACACGTTATTTGTGTTATTGCTCTTTGTGGCATCCGTACCAGATGTTGGCAATCAGCTAAGATACACATCAAACTTTTTTTCCCCTTCCTGTTTCTTGGAGAGGCAGAGGAAACTGTGATTAGCACTGTGCTTGTTAGCACCTTGTCTAGTCTCATCTCCCTACAGAAGGCTTTCCCTTTTCTTCCTTTCTTTGTTAATTAAAGAGTGTTTTCCTGAGTCGGGCAAGTGTGTGCGCAACAGAAATAAATAATAGATTCCAGTGAATGTGCGGCATTGGTAGTTACGGGAGGAACTCATGGGCCAGAAGTTCATTCAATCTTGTCAATATTTTATCTTTCCTGCCCTGCCCAATTACTGCAGTGTAGGGATGAGGAGCCTGTGAAACACCAATCAACTCTTGGTCGTTGACCATGCCTCCTGGAATTGGTATTCAACAGCTACATGGCCACAGATTCCCCATCCCTGCTCTGTTGAGGGGCTCATAGGGATGCATGTACATCCCCTTGTAACATTACATTAGGTATTATTATTATTACTGTCTAAAAATGGAGCCCCCCTTTGACAGTTCTCACATGTTCCACCTGAGAAAGAAGTTCATATTCACTTCGGCAAACTAGGAATGTTGTGGGACCCCCATGAGAAATGTCATGAGTCCTCCCAAAACTCTGTTGGTTCCCCTTCTAGTTCCTCAGATGTTTCACCTGTAGAAGGACCCTGTCACGGGCCAGGAGTCAGCTTCACCTGCTGAACAGCAGCCTGAAGGGGGAAAAGGCAGAATGACTTGACCTGCAGCTGATCAGCCTTCAAGAACAGGAAGAGAAGGTCATTCCGCATTCTCCTACTTCAGGCTGCTGTTCAGAAGGTGAAGCTGTCTCCTGGCCCACAACACTCCAACTTTCTCAATGAATTTCACATTGGATGAAGTTTCTACCCATGTTCATTAGACTGGGGCAAAGGTGGGGGTCTGTAGCCCTTCAAAAGCTGTTAGAGCACAACTTATTGGCAGCATTTGCATACACTCACTTACCTCTAACCTAAGTGGTAAATGGGGCAAAATCTGATGGCATTAAAAAAGAAAGAAAGGAAAAGGCACACCCATTCATCACCATCACTCTCAAAATAACAGGTGGGAAATCTGTGATGCTCCAGATGTTGATAGATTAAAATTCCTCTCATGTCTGACCATGAGAGTTAATTATGAGATCTTGACTGTTTTAAGGGCCCAGTGGGTAGCTAGCTAGTCTTGGATCTGGCAGATAGCGGTTCCATTCCCACCTCTACCATATGGATTTTTGATTGTTTTATATATATAGGTGTGTGTGTGTGTGTATATATATATGTGTATATATATATACACACACATATATATATATATATATACACACACACACACACACACAAACATATCGCTCCCTTCATTAAAGGAAAGCAGTGGTGGCCAACTGCTGTAGTGAATGCAATCAAAATTGTTCAGCATCTTACAAAGATAAGAAAGGCAACATAATCAATAAGCAGTAATAGTGGTGAAACAGCTAATAGGAATTCAGAGCACTGAAGTAAAAGGTGTTGGCTTAGAAACCCATTGGCAAAATGGGATACTCCCAGACTCTGCTATTGCATTAAAAAACAAACAAACAAACAAAAGTGAGTAGATTTTAGGTTTACGGTGCTTTCTTTCCCTGAGAGCCCACAGCTAATTCTCCCCTGGCCTCCTCGCTGGCCCAAGTAGGACTAATTCAGCCAGCTAGCCCTGGTGATTATCTAATACTTATTAGATGGATTTCCCCTAAATTGATTTCTGAACTTTGAACTGTATTGTTATTCATGTTTTTATACGGTATTTTATGCTGCTTTTACAATTAAGTGTTTTAAATTTGTTGTTAGCCGCCCTGAGCCCTGTTTTTGAACCAGGAAGGGCGGGGTATAAATTTAAAAATTTCATCATCATCATCATTATTTTCTTTCTTTCTTTCTTTCTTTCTTTCTTTCTTTCTTGGACCCTGAGGTCCAACAACCAAAGTAAGGTGCAAAATAGTAACTGAGGAGGACAGGCATATGCTAAGAATTAAGTCTGGGACAAAAATCCACTCCTGGTTTCCCCCCAAGCTTTCTTTGTTTCAGCCTCCTAATTTGGGGGCATGGTTTTTTCTTGCTTCTGTTGTTACTCAGAGATCTATTGGTAGATCCTGAACTATCTTCTGCCTCTTCCCTGCTTTAAACTAATGAAAGCAAAGTCTTTGTAAATCTGTATCTATATTATATCTCTATCAATATCTATCTATTTATATGGAAAAAAGACTTGTCCTATTGACTCCGGCACCTGGTGTGGTGGCCAAGACATATTATAAGAGGCAGAGATCAGTTGAGCTTAGTGCCAGAACTGGAGCACCCTGCTAATTGCAGCTACAGAGAAGTTTCGTGGTGACTCTTGGGAGTTCACACTAATGAAAAGCACCTGGATAATTCAAGGAAAAGGAAAAAAAGAGTCTCCAAGAAGACTAAAGGCAGGCATAGGCAAACTCGGCCCTCTAGATGTTTTGGGACTACAGTTCCCATCATCCCTGACCGCTGGTCCTGTTAGCTAAGGATCATGGGAGTTATAGTCCCAAAACATCTGGAGGGCCGAGTTTGCCTATGCCTGACTAAAGGAATTCATCAAGTGTGACAGGTTGGGGTCTGCACATCCCACCCGGTTTCACTGAAAAATGTTAACTGAACTTTGATGAAGGGCAGCATTTACACATTTTTAAAGAACAAATTAAATAATGGTAATTTTGAGGGGCCTGCTCAGAATAAACCAGCTCAAGCCTTTTCAAAGGAAGCTCCTAAGGGGTTGGATGAGACAGCTGGAAACTTTGTGCTTAGGATATAGGTTAAGCAAGGAGATGGGGAAAGCACCAAGATCGGTGCAGCAGAAGGGAGACGAGCTCTGGTGCTTCTTGTACTAAGCTGTTTGTTGCTGTTGTTTAGTCGTTTAGTCGTGTCCGACTCTTCGTGACCCCATGGACCAGAGCACGCCAGGCACTCCTGTCTTCCACTGCCTCCCACAGTTAGCACTAAGCTGTTTATTTAGCTTCAATAATAATAATATTAAAATTAGCATAAAAGTACACCATTTTTATTCATGCTTAAAAGTGCAAAACCATGCACATTAGAAGTGATTTAAAAGAACAGAGGCTTTAAAAAAAACCATGTACAGTAACTTGTCTTTTTTAGGTACTTCACACACACACACACACACACACACACACACAGTATTGTGCTTTTAAGTGTTATTACTAATGTTGCACTTTTGTATTATTTTCAGCATTATCATGATTTGTATTGTGTGTAGCTCCTGACAAAGGGGGCTTACCTCCTAAATGTGTCGAGCTAAACAAATAGTTAAACTAAATAAACAGCTTATTGCAAGAAGCACCAGGGCCTGTCTCTCTTTGGGGACATGGGGCAGTAAGCGTACCCCTCAACTGCCCCAATTAAATTGGGACATCCCATGGAGACCCAAAACACACAATTTTCTTGCCTCTATTGTCTCATGAGAGTCATGTGACTTGCATGAGAGCGCAGTCAGGAAGACACACATCCCAGTTTTCGGCCTCAACCTGTTGGAGGGTATGGTAAAGGTAAAGGTAAAGGGACCCCTGACCATTAGGTCCAGTCGCGGCCGACTCTGGGGTTGTGGCACTCATCTCGCTTTACTGGCTGAGGGAGCCGGCGTACAGCTTATGGGTCATGTGGCCAGCATGACGAAGCCACTTCTGGTGAACCAGAACAGCACACGGAAATGCCATTTACCTTCCCGCTGGAGCAGTACCTATTTATCTACTTGCACTTGATGTGCTTTCGAACTGCTAGGTGGGCAGGAGCAGGGACCGAGCAACGGGAGCTCACCCCGTCGCGGGGATTCGAACCGCTGACCTTCTGATCAGCAAGTCCTAGGCTCTGTGGTTTAACCCACAGCGCCACCCATGTCCCGTGGAGGGTATGGTAGCAGAATGCAAAAAAGGATGAAGCTTCTGTACCTTTAACAGTTGTGCAGAAGAGGGTAGCTTCGGCAGGTGTAGCTTGTCGTGCAAATCCCAAATATTTTGCAGCAAGTAAAGGTACTGGAGCCCTTTCCTCCTTCACATCTGGCCACCCTTTGGGGACAGGACTTGGTGCATGAAGGCTTGCCTTGTCCTACTTTCTGAAAGTGGTTCTGGCTCATGGCACTGAGGGCTGAGTCCTGCAAGCAACTCCTGATACCCAGCATCCTCTGCTGCGACGCTGGTTCACATATCGCTTGGGCTGCTTACACAGTCAGGCCAGTCCTGGCGTCTCAGCTCGGCTCAAGATGGAGACAAGATGGAAGCTGAAGTGTGTGCCCAGGGGGGAAGCCAGTACTTTCTGATTAGCATTCAAGTCAGAGGCAACAGGAACGCACAGGAAGTTTATTTTGGTTGCTGCCTCATATGCTCTTTCTAAATCACAGCGCTCAGCACTCCGGTTAAAGTTATGGCAGGTCTTCCTGTGTTTAAACCTTTCCTCAGAGGAACTTCTACCTCCCACAATTATTATTCTCTGTTATTATTTCAGCGGAATTACTTAGTTATGCAGGGCGGTGCGCCTCATCTGCAAACCAGCCCCAAAATGTACACTGTGTTGTGTTGACAAGACATGCCAAGCCCATCAAATACGCTTCGTGGTGGAGAGCCTGTGTTATGTTTCAACGTGAACACATTCAGCCTCGTTCCTTTTAACCCGGGAAACTGAGAAAAAGCAGATGAGCTGCACTAACAAAACTAGCAGCATTTTTGCTGCTATGTCTGATTGTGGGGGTAGTGGGAAGACGTATTTTGCCAATCGCTTGGCTGTCACTGGTGAAATTCAGTGTGAATTCAGCGGTTCCTACTGAGGTGAAACATCTGAGGGGTATGAGATGGCCAAGTGTGTTGTATGACTCAAGACTAGAGGAGGACACCCCCTCCCCCATTTCCCACTGACAGAGCATTTTCCATTTGCACTTCGAAGTGCAAGAGGACACCCCCTTTTTTTAAAGCTTCTGCCATTAAAACAACAACAAAAAAGCTCTATCTGAAACCTGAAGCAGTTCAATCCATTTCCCCCCCTCACAACTCCTTCTGCTGCCTGGGTTAAGACTAGCCCTGAAGAACCTTGGGATGAGCCAAGAGTTTTGCATAATGAGAGTAGATGAGTCTAGATCGATCAGTCGATCTAGATTTAGATCTATAGATCTAGATATATAAAATCTTGCCACATACTTCAGAGGGATGGTGCCATGCTGTTGTATATTACACCAGTTCTGTAAGGTGAACAGGAACTACAGTGGTACCTTGGGTTACATACGCTTCAGGTTACAGACTCCGCTAACCCAGAAATATTACCTCGGGTTAAGAACTTTGCTTCAGGATGAGAACAGAAATCCGGCTCCGGCGGCGCAGCGGCAGCAGCAGGAGGCCCCATTAGCTAAAGCAGTGTTTCAGGTTAAGAACAGCTTCAGGTTAAGAACGGACCTCCGGAACGAATTAAGTACTTAACCCGAGGTACCACTGTAAAGTAATGTAGCAATTGTTGTATGGGGAAGAATCTGTTCTGGGCGAGACTGTAACCGATTCCCCTACATACAACCATTTCCAAATCACTTCAGTTCCTGTTACTACATGTTCCCTTCTCCTTTCCTGCCTCATTCTGAGGTGCTGGTTTTACAGCTCAACTTTTTGTTGCAAGGTGGCCACGGGTGAGGTGTGGGCACACGCGTTTTTCTTCCCAGTAAACATTTACCCAGCACTCTGCAGCCCTCCTGGCTGCCCACACTTCCTGATCTGAAAAAGTCCACCGAGAGGTGCTAGGTCTTCCCCTGGGCTTTAATTCCCAGGCAGGCACCTGCACCCCACCTGTGAAAAATCCACTGACATTTCTCTCCCCTTTGATCACTTCCAAATGCAATTTCTTTTCTAAAAAACTGATAGGAAATGGCGGGAGGAGGGGAAATTACACATACAGGAGAAATTTTCAGCAAACCATACCTTAAAAATATACTAAGGGTGCAGATAATGTGTGCTGTTGCTTTGGTGTTCCTGTTTCAACCGAGAGCGCCACAGTGAAGATGTTTGCCATCTAATGGAGTGAAAAAAATCTTCCCATCTCCTAAATGGATGTTGTTGTTTTTCCTCGCCCACCCCCCTTTTTAAAAGCAGTCTCTTTAGACTATTTTTGACCTGTAATTGCCAACATCTGTTCAGGATAATCATCTACAGGATCTACCATGCACGGGGTTGTTTTGCCACCTTCTCTACCTTGCCATGCAGGTCAAAAATGTTAAACACTGAGGCTGAATGAGACCTGTCCATAGATACACCGAGGGCACATTTGCTTGTTTTCCCCATCGATCTACTTTCAG